TTGTGAATTCTGGAATATTTGCGAAGTCTTTTATGGAATGCATCGGAAAAAAAATTAGAATCCGGAATTCATAAACGATGCGGATTCCATGTCAGAATGCAGACAATACTATTGGACCAATTTCAATATTATAGTTTCCGTCCCATAGTTAATAAATAGAGTCTCAGCACTATCTTGAAAGCTACCAGTACCCGTGTGCTTCAATGGAGAAGTGAGATCCATGAAATGATAGTGAAACACCTTTCTTTGCATCTGTAGATAAAAATATCGACAGGTATCAAACTAACTTACAGTTCTTTTTACCACAGGAAGAACGTGTCATTGACAAGATGTCGAAGATGAGCTATGAGCATAAACCCCATAAGAGCCCCATGGATGGTCGACTTTGGCATCAAATGCTTGACTCCAAGGCTGAACAGTATCCAGACACTAAAGCAGTGATCATGTATGATATGGATATGAATCGATCGGCCATGACGTTCGCTGAATACAGAGACAGGTGAGTTTTCTAGTGCAACACAATTCCTTTATTTCATTATCAAAGTTAAATATTTGCCAAGATCTTTTATACCAGTGCATGAATGTGTATACACCTAATTCAATAAACGTTGTCGGGTAGAAGGGCGAGCGACGATTGTCGAAGAGTTATTGCACGACTGAAAGGGACTATCGTTACACTGTTTCGACAACAAAATTTTACTTATTTAATTCACCTTGCATTAAAATGGAGAAAAAATAAAACCAATTCTCACCAAAGACTATCTTACAGTATAAATCAACCCATGTCTACTTTCAGTCGGGCAATAGCCGTTCGGCAATTGATATTCGCTATTTTATCCGAAAACCTTTTTTGAAATAGGTTGCATGGTAGGCCAGTCTTTAGACTGCACTTGTTTTAATGACTAAGTCCCAGGCCATAAGAAAATCAGGGAATGAACGATGTGGGATTTGAAAAGCATTTTTGTGCATGATCACAATGTTTTTTGTTTGTTTGTCTGTTTGTTTTCTGGAGGTTATTGTTTTTCACTATCTGCATGGAATACTTCTTTTGGGACCAGATCAAATCCAGGATTTACTTTTATGAAAGCTGATAAATCTCATCCCCAGTGGTCTGCAATATACCCTTGACCTTGTGTTTTCTTTCTTGCAGATCCAYCTACCTTGCTGCATCCCTTCTTGAGCTTGGTCTATCACGTGGACAACGCGTGTTGTTAGTAGGACAAACAAGTCTGCGCTACATTGTGTTTGTGATGGCTCTGCACCGCATCGGTTCTAATGCCATCCTACTGGGTGCAGGAGATGTAACGCCTGACAAAGTAAGACTTCTAAAGACACTTAACTGTAGATTGATTGCTTACGATCCAGAAATGAAGGAATCACAAAGGAAGCAGCTGTTTGAAGGAATCAACCTGCTGACTCAGCACAATATAGATAACAACATTGACAAGCAGATTGTTATTTCTTTGAGTACCTTTTCTGGGGAGTGTGGAGACGACCAATCTATTACCTACGAGGGCCTCATGACAAGTGGCCAGTCCCAAGACCTAGAGAAACTTAAAAAAGCTCAAAACGAAGTTCAGTTTGATGATCCTATTGTGGCATTGTTTACTTCAGGTAGCACAGGGGAATCAAAAGCAGTACAACTAACCACGCATTCTATTCTAAACTTTTTCACTCGTGCTTCAGTGGGTCCTAGAAAAGATATTTGCTACAATGACCGTCCAGTGTCTTGGGGAGTTGGCTATGCTGGGAACCTTGTTGGCCTGCGCTTTGTGAACACATCTACAGTAAAAGCTCCAACCGAAATGGCTGTTTCCGAGGCGTTATGCGAGGGTGTTTTTAAAATCTGGCAAAAAGAGAAGTGCACAGTGTGCTCACTCAATCCGGTTTTGGTCCAAAAGCTCTTAATGGGCTCGATGCACCTGAAATATGACCTTAGTAACGTCAGTGTGCTTACCATGTTTGGTCAGCGGTACAGCTTGGATACAGTGGCAGCACTCACCAAAATATTCCCTAAGGTAGCAATAGTACTATCGTATGCATCTTCGGAGTCGTGGTTAATTGCGAAAATGATAGTAAACAAAGAAACTGCTGTAGAAGAAAAGTACGCCAAACTGACCATTGAWGAAGGTGTTGAAGTTAAAATTGTCGACGAAGAAAGTAAGTTGGTATCAAGAGGAACTCTTGGAGAGATCTGTGCGCGAAATGCCTCGGTTTTTTTGGAATACTTGGGTAACCCTGAAGCTACCAAGCGAACCAAATCATCGACAGGCTGGGTTCACATGGGAGATACTGGAATCATGTATGATGATGGTAAGATCGAGGTGATTGGAAGAAAGACAGAAATTATCAAACGAGCAACCGTGAAGATTTGTCCTGCCCACATTGAAAAAGTTCTGTTGCAGCACCCACAAGTGATAGATGTTGTTGTGGTTGGAATCCCTGATCAGCAGTTGCACGAGGAGGTCTGCGCATGCGTAATTCTACGCGAGGATACAGAAAGTGATGGTTCGGACGAGGAAGCAAAAGTACTAGAGATAAGGGAATGGTGTAAGAAACAGTGGCCTCCTGGACCAGATGGGCTGAGCTTGACACCCAAATATATTCTTGTAATGAAAAAGTTCCCCGTATCAGGAAGAACAGGAAAGACGTTCGTGCGAGGTGTTAAGGATTATGCTTTAAAGAAGCTTAACTTTTAGTTAAAATATCTACTTTCACATTAAAAATAGAAAGTCACATAAGAATGGTGGCTATTTTGAATTGGAGTTTTGACAGACTACCATATATGGTGAGAATTATGCTTATATATTGAAATGTTTCGGAGTATCGCACCGTGCTTCGTTTTTTTAGAATTAAATCGCATATAGTAGGGAGAGAAAATTGTGGGTTAGTCAGCAAAATGTGGTTCATACAATGTATAAACAAAGTCTGAGGTCAAACGGCATCTCTTATGAACTTTTATTATATTCCCAAACGGTCTAGGGATATAAAATACATGGTAATATAAACGATAACGTATTCTTAACAATCCTTACTTATGTTATACCAATAGAGATATTGTAATAATATCTTTAAATAAAATCGTTCTCAAAAACCGAAAAAAAACATCGATTATTGAAATCACCTCGTTTTCCATGAATGATGTAAATACGACCCCAATGAATGCCGGTTATTCACTGGGCCCTTCACAGTCAGTCAGAGAATTTCTTATTGCATTGCTAAATATGTTTTAGTTCTTAGAAGAATATTTATTCAAAGTTATAAGCAAATTTCCGTTTKAATTGTTCCTTTATCTGAAATCATGCACACTAATGTACCAGTTGTTAATAGAATTGACAAGTAACCTGTGATGAAAACGATTTGTGGAAAAGTTCGACTCTACAGCAGCAAGATCAAACACCCCTTACCCCAACTTATGCTTATGTCGCTACCATTTCATGTCATTTCAATATCAATATCTTTGAATCCTTAGATAAATGCACTATTCCAAAAAAGCAATGTACATGTTTAACTTCATTATTGCATTGACGTGAAGCCAATGAATGACTTTCCAATAATTTGATCCTTCGCCAAATGCAATGCATTCATGGAT